ACGGCTTGGTCTGGTGCTGTTTGGGTTAACGATTGAGGCGTCTTTGCTGGTGCCATGTTGGTTGGCGGTGGTCCGGTATCCAAGACAGGTGCCCCCCCTGCAGTGGGAAAAAGCAGACCACTACAGGAGTGACCCTCTTTTCCCACGTGNNCACACACACACATGCACGCACGCACAATCCGGAACAAGTCGCATGGATGTTGGTAACACAGACGTTGTCCGAGAGCATCCGTTCCTTGGTCTTTGCCCCTGCTTTCATCTGGCAATTGGTCACTGAATCCGACAGGCCGGGTCAGCATCCCTTGAAAAAAGGAGGCGGCCTGGGCGTCGGCCACATTGCGTTCGAGATCAGCTGTCAATCCTCTGTAGCATGTGCGATTTTGCACAGACAGGGAGTGAATTTCAGACGGCAAAGCTTCTTATGGTTAACGCCGGCTGAGGTCCTAGTCTATGAAATTATGAGAAGCTGGGAAGCAAAAGCTGGGCCAGCAGAGTAGCCAAGCGTCCCGATGCTCTTGCAGGAGGTTCACTCAATGGCCGGGGCCTGCATCTGTAAGACTCAACAGGTACAGTTCTGACTGATCCACCCATGCTCGTTGATTGAATTCGCAGGTGGCTAGCGGCTATCTCATCATCCGGCGCACAGAATTGCTGTGTCTTGCCACCATGACCCAACTTCACACTTGCCAGCAGAAGCGTGAACTTGCTGACTACCTTTCCGACTGATTTTAAAGCAGCCTCAAACATAGCGAAATTCTGCAAACTCGCGAACTGGCCTGTAACGGACTTTGCCGGGCGCCAACCCGAAACCTCAAGCAGCCAGGCTTTGGAGGCGACGTGTTCCGCTGCACCAGAAACCTTCAAGCCGAGCTGCCCGTGTGAGTCTCCCTCTTCATAGCCTTCACCTGGAAGGTACGGGCGCTGTGCCCGCAGCTGGTCACAGGCCCTGTCAAGCGGTAATTGGAAGTCCTGCCATCTGCAAATACTTCCCACCAATTGGACCTGACATTTACCAAAATGGAAAACTTCTCCCCAGCGCCCGAGATCCGTGGAAGTTCTTGATTGGCTTGTTGGCTAAGCAAAAATTGTGAGGATGTTTGCTTCCAACAGATGATCTGAGCTGGCTGGGAACTGAAACCGCAGTTGGTGCAGATCACCGGACATGATTACCGTCTAGGGCGAAGCTAGGGCTCACCCCTAAGCCACATCTCGTTTGAATATGAGTCGGTCCTCACCGCCGGGATCATGCAACAAAACTTGCACAGACCAAATTGTCTAGCCAGGTCAGGCTCAACGTGTAGCTACGCAAAACTGGTGGATATGAGAGCAAAGCGTTCAAACAGACACACGGTCGTCAGCAATCAAGATCAGACTTTGATGCTGGCCTGTGTGGCCACTGTAACTTGAAACACGAGGCACAGCAGAAACGCAAGGCTTGCTAGTTCAAGCACGTCAAAGTCTTTCTGTGTAAGGAACGACATGAGAATGCAAGCCCCGTCTCTTTTTGCTACAGACATCGGCTGCAACGTCATCCTTCTTCTCCTTAACACGGCGGTTGAAGAAATAACGAGCACATGAAAGAATGACGGCCGACTGGTTTACCTTGTGATTGGCCTTAAGATCTCGTGCCAAGCCGCAGGATGACGCGGAAGCAGCGTCCCTACTGACGCTTAGGTGCCGTCACTCCACAGTTCTCCACAGTAATGGTAAGGCAAGCAGCTGTGCAATCAGCGATGGCAACCTGAGCACATCAGAAAGGAACACCTCCATCCACAGCTGCGCGGCAGTTTGGGATGTTTGGGAGGGTCCCGTAGTCTTGCGTAGAGAATCGAGGCCTCGTATGTCACCCCCCCCCTCCAAAGCCGGACCCATTGGTGCCTTAGTTTATTCTCGGACTTTTGTGGAACTTCAGGTCTCTGCCACCCCTTGCCAACCGACATGCTTCAGGCGCTTGTTCGACTCCCTTTGCCGGAGCCGTCCTGCAAACCCTGGCCAACAAACAGCTGCAAACCCTGGCCAAGAAACAGCTGGCTGTGATTGGTCAAGCAACACGAAATGGACGACAATGGGGCTTGATGGGCCTGTCGGCTTTTCATCCAAGCAGCCCCTCTCGCCCATGGTGTTTCGGCGCTGCACTCCCAATGGCATCATGCCAGAAGGCCTGGCTGGCTATTGAAACAATCCTAGTGTGACCTATGCTAGGGCTTGATTCCCTTGACATTGAGCGTCTGAAATCGCAGCTTGAAGCAGGTGCAGTCAAAATTCGGCGTGGTCCCGCTGCTTCTCGGTGGAGTGCAGGACCTGCCACAGAAGCATCTGGTGCCCTTCGGTTGGAAGCTATGCTCCCATCTCCACGAAGATTCGGGATCATAGCATTCATTCCTTTAGTCCCGCCTTCCGTCACACTGCGCTGCATCACAGCCTGGCCGCTTCGTGAAGCTCTCCAATGCTCGTGGCGTTCGGGCCCGGGAAACTCAAGCGGGGGAGGGAAGTGGAGGAAACAGGGCAACGTGCCGAGTCGGATGCCATGGGCCGACTCGGAAGCACCCAGGGTGAATCACCAGTGAAAGATATTTTGGATCCAGTCTGTCTACGAGGCTAGGGCGGCTAGGGAGGCCCCGGCCAGGAATGTGGAGCAGCGCGGAAACGACTCGGAGGCAGAGCACGGGTCTTGGCCCCGGCGAGAATATTCTAGTCCTCTGTTTAAGGGCTTTAAATGGTTCTTGATGCAGCTTGAAGGTGTGTCCACGCCTTGGTCGTGGATGACGGAAAGGTATGTGCTGCGGATCGAGCCGGTGGTGTGGCAGATGATGACTGCATGAAATAGCCGGTAACTTGGGAGATCAAAGCCGATGAGCGTCTCTCGAGCATAGTAAGTCGAATGCTCAAGCCCGGCACCTACTCCTACTTCTGCCAACAGCCGTCGCTTGTTGGCCAGCTGTTCTCTTCTGAAGCACATTTCAATCATGGAAACAAGACCAGAGAAAAAAAAAACTCTCTGCAATTTCACGCACCTTGCGTTGGGATGGTGTTGACTGTTTGGCGGACACGGTCAGTCATGCCGGCCTCAGGGCAAACCAGAGGCGGAATGACGACCGCTTGCCAATTGGAACTGAAGCTCAAAGAATCCAGCCGGCGAAGGCGGCAGCGGCAGCTTGATGCAGCAGCACTGCTGGACCTTCATGCTTCACACACATGAGTCTCGCTGTAAACTTGACCGTTGGAAACGCTACTCACTCAGCCCGCCGCACACAAGCACCGCCCATCAAGCTTGACCATTTTTCTTGTCGCTTGTCACACACCTACTGCTTTCTACTGGCACAATAGCCTCAAGTCTGCAGGGAAGTTCAATCTCTGAAAAAATCGTCAGCCCTTGATTTCCGCGCACACACACACAAGAGTCAGGTGTGCAACGCTCTGCCTTTCTTGTCATTTACGCCGGTGCTCTTTAAGCACGTCATGCTTTGCAGAGTCGATCGACTGCCTCCAAAGCTGCCTGTGCCTCATACTGCACGCCTGATGGTGATGTTAGGCCCTGGCCAGAGGCAGAATAGCTTTGGTACACGTCTCGAAGGTAGGCATTGGTCCTAGCGCAATCCAGCTTCAGATTCTCGAAGCGCTCAGGGTCACGAGATACTGCGGCCGCCCAAGCCCAGGCACAGATGCACCAGTGACCGCCATCCGTCACCACACTAGACAAGTCATTCGCATCATATTTCGTGCTGGATTGAAGGAACTGTTGGCTCATGGTGACACACACTTGGTGATATCCACTGTCCGAGGGTTCCCATGCACAAAACCCAGTGCGAGTCCAGCCTGTAGTTGTGTCCCCCTCCTGGGAGCAAGGCTTGAGCTCTTGACCGTATAAGTTCAAATCCTGGGATCCGACGAAGCTCGCAGTCGATGAGCGCTTTGCAGCCAATGCTACAGCTGTCTCTTTGTGGGCTGTCTGAGCGTCCTGTGAAATGGAACTTTTACTAGCGCGAATGTGCAACAAGCCACCAAGTGGCAATTTGGCGGCATCTCGAATGATACCAATCCAGCACAAGCTCAAGGATTGGCACAGCCTGCCGAAGAGCACGACCAGAAAAATGCAGAAGCAAACGCGGCATGCACCAGAGCGCCGAGATGGATCCATGGCAGAGATGCACTAGAAATTACTCCACCAGATTGTCCGCTGTTCCAAAGCATGAGATGAGAGCGCTGCTGCTAGATTCGCTGCACATCGAATGAAGCTTGTAGCTCGCCACGTGCACCCAATGCAAAACAGAAGGGACTGCGAAGTATGCGAATGGAGCATTGGGGGGACTGTTCGCCACCACCTAGTATCACCTACCCATCAAACTTCGGCAGCACATGCAAGAGCACCTTTCTGCTACGTCTTCTGCGCAGTAGAGCTGACTATGCAAGCCACGCAAAATCGTGCATAATGCTGCTTGCCCACTGACCGCTCGCCGCTTCTGGTTTGTGCAAAAACAGAAACGAAACTCACAAGAGGAACCGTTCACATCGAAAGCCAGAAGAATGCGGGCACTGACCAGGCAGCCTATTCGACTGCACATTAGCTTACATCACCAGTTGATATCTATCCATTTAGCCAAAGTTGGGCCCTTGTAGCCATCATAGCAGAGACGAGAGCTTCAAATCTCTTCGAGGTGCCGCCTTTCCAGCCCTCTCGTGAGAGGATGGCCCGAGGGCTCCCATACGAATTGCTGCAATTTTCAGCTTCTTGCGATGCTTGAGTTCTCCCTCGGGGCACAGATGGCAGTACTCGCAATTCTCCGCGTTTTGGCAACCCTTGGGCTTCCACATCCAGGCGCATGGGCGGCACTGGCCGGAGCGGTGAAGAGCCGAGCCCTTTGACGGCACTGGTCCCGTCGGCACTGGCTCTTGGCTTCCCGTGTCCGGAGCCGGTGGGCTGAGCAATCCTTCAGAGTCAAGGCCCAGGACGGATTCCGCCATCATAACAGCCTGGGCTTCCAGATGCTCCGAGCCATATTCGTTGTTCTGGACATGGTCAGGCGCATCCTCCGAGGCCGCAGACACTGGGCCATTCCCACATTGCTGGACCACCGGCACAAAGACTTTCGCATCTGCATTCAAGAATGCCGAAGATTCGGTGGGCGGCAAGGCGAAGCTGTACGGGGCCTCAGTTGCCTTTGGTGTTGGGGTCGCTGCCCACAATACCTTGGGGGTTCTCGCATCCACGCCTTGGCCCTCTCCGCGAGGCTCCTCGGCGCCGTCCTGCCTCGACGTGTTTGAAGAAGCTGTGGGGGACGGTGGCGAACCAGATCGAACTGTTGTGGTTCGAAGGCTGCCTTTACTGGCTTCATGCCAAGTGTGCGTGACACAGAGGGGTGGGAGGATGGGTGGAAAACGTGCGGTTGTCTTACAGCTGAGCTGCTGGTGGAGCTATGCAAACAGCCCTGTTTCTGGAGATGGCAAGCTGCCTGGTGCCTAGAGTCTTCTACATCGTCTTGATGTCTGGAACCGTAAGCCCTTTTTGATATGTGCTGGGTTTGCGTTTGCTGTGCGGTGGAAATGGGAGGAAAAAAGCCACGGGCCACGCCCCAAAGTGTCCGCGTGCCGTGGGGAATAGCTGCCAAAACCAGACCCGAATGACACCACTTTTGAGCGTCCACACCACCACACCCACTACGACTTCTGGCAGAACAAGTTCTCGGTATTGAAACGAAAGGCTCTCTGGGGAGAGCTTTCGTGACATACACACATATGACACTTATTTATACATAGACGGAGAAACAGAGACAGAGAGAGAGAGACAGAGAGGGAGCAAGAGAGACCGAGAGAGAGTACGCACAATCCTACTTACAAGTTAAGAAATGGAAGCCGTCTCGACTCCGAAACTCCTCCTCCAAGAACATAATTGTACCCGCGCAGCGCACGAAAGTCGTCACGAACCGTCCACATGCCCAACTACTTTCCTGGACAAGTTACTTGTAGGAGTGGATGAGCCACTCTGTAGGCTGGAAAGTTTCTCACGTGCTCGCTGCAGGGGCAAAGGTCCAGCCGAAACTCGGTCCATCACTGCACCCGATTCCATACACTTTCAGCCTACTTGAGCCTTTCTCTGCGATCATTTGATGCATGTCTCCCTCGATCAGCACTCATTCTAATATGCCAGTTTTTACAAGTTGAACATGTCGCGTGCCAGCGGCATTGCCCGTCTCTTTCGTTCCCATGGAGTTGTCGCGGCATCCAAAGCGAAGTTTCTGCCGGTCGGCAGATCGTTTTGACAGCTTCGCCTCCACGACAGGTCTCAGCACCCTTTGCCCGAGCGACACGAAGGGAGATTAGCATTGACCTTTTGGCGCGTGCACAGTAACACTCGCAATGTAAGCTCTGGCTGACCATGTGGCCTACCTTTTGCGGCCATACGGTCCCAGAACTGACTGTACAGGCCTCCTACCGCATCACGTCATCAAGTTTTGATAGCGTGTCAGTGGACGGTGCTCAATGCAGCATGATTTGGCTTATAGCTCATCGGGCCAGGAGACGGGCTCGGAAGAGCCCCAGGAAGGCCACCTGGCTGTGGGAGGGACATATTCACTTGCAAAGGCTTTCCTCTTGCCTGCCTGCTGATCTCGATCCCCAACGAGCTGCACGGGTGAAGCTGCCACCCCTGCTGGCGGGCAGGCAGGGCTGTTGGATCTCGAGGTGTCTTGGAAGAACGGGGCAAGCGCCTTGAGCGTGAGCGCAACGGTGGGTTGTACCTGAGCGCAACATTCTTTACAAGACACGCTTTCAAAAGGCCCAACACGCAGCGAATCCTGTATGTAAAGCAGGTCTTTAGTGGAACGATTGCACATTGAGTAAATCCGCACCAATTAAGCAGGAAAGTCTTGATCCTCGACTTTCACACACTGCGCTCCGCGAAATTGGCGAAAGGACAAACGGAAAGCAGTTACAACTGAAGAAGAGTGTTAGAAGACGAAGCAGCAGGAAGTAGCTCAACTGATGACCGTATCGAGCACGGACGAGCATGTGATCTTGCTTGCGAGACACAACGAGTCGTGGTCGATGAATGAAATGCTCAGATACACGACACATCCCGATGCACTATCAAGGTTGATGGCAGAAGACGTGAACATGGAATCTGAAACCTTACAAATCAATCCACACGCCCCACGCCCCTGAAAACTGAGTGAACGTGTGATGCTCCTGCATGAAGGTAGCAGCTACTTGTAGAACATGAGCGTGGCGGCCGGGCAAGAATGAGACCCTTTCATAGTATGCGCATCGCGGGGTCCCCT